ACCCCAATTCAAAAGATAAACTCATAGTCTCATACATCATATATGAGAAAAAAGAAAATTATTAACTCTGTACTTAGTACTGTTCTTATAATAAAAGTACAAACTTAAATAATTATAACGTCATGAAATTTATATATAACATATAACATTCCTTGATAAAAATAGGGCAAATGCAAAATAGTGTCCTAATAATAATACAAACGGTGAAAAATGAAAGGATTGAATTGATTTTTTTATCATATCTCAGGAATGTCATTGGGCGGGTCTGATGAAAATTTCAAAACTTAAGTCGTAAAACGCTGGCGTCAGCGAGCGTTTTTCTCGAAAACGGTCGAAATTTTAAAACGCTCGCGGGCAAGCGGCAAAAATTTTCCGACCTTCGCCAATAATTTTCCCGGAGTCTGGTGACCGAGTACTGTCGTTGAAAAAAAAAATATTGAAAATCCGAGCACGCTAAGTAATTTTCCCAGAAAAGCGTTTTTTTCTTTGTTCTATTATATAATAAGATATATATATAATAAAATATAAATTAAAAGACATCTAAATGCGATATTGTTGTAAAATGTGAGGTTTTTTAACCAGACCACGCCTTATAAGCTTGCTACTAAATTCTTTTACCGTTGTTGATTGTACATCAATTTAAATAAAATTCTCTTCAAGACGTGGTTTTTTTTCATTTATGATTAAGGACTTGTGATATCCCTCAATCCTTGTAGCTTTGGGGATACATTAGAACTTAGTATAAACATATATAAATGTAAGCAGTTTACCTTTTCCCGCCTCTCTGATATTATAAATTTTAATTACATAATATCAGGCGTGACTCTTCAATATCTCTGTCTTAGGCTCCAAATCAAAACTGTATCCTGTAAAGCACTTAGAACATCAAACTTTCTTATTTGTGTATCTTGTGAATTTATACAAAAATATTCGTTTAAAAGCATTTATTGCTTATTAAAGTGTTCTATTCTGGAGTATGATTGTATGATATGGGAACCAACAACTATTAAGGACATCATTTTATTAGTAAAAGTTCTATGAATATATTTTTAATCAGTTTTTTATTTCTTAAATATTTTACATACTCCGCATAACTATTGTACTATACGTTCGTTCCTTGGTTTAGTTACCTCGACAGGTTTTTATTTTTATTTTATTATAATTTTCCTAACTAATCTTTTAACAAGTAAAACTGATTGTTCTTCTTTGATTTTTAAAATGAGTCTTTCAAATATCAGTCTTTTAATTTTACTTACCATCTAACAGTACAATTAAAAAAAGCATTTTTTATTATAAATAAAATAATAATAATTATGGATTTGCATTGAGCCCCGTAATATTAAACAGTGACACTGACTTATTATATCACAGTATAATAATGTATATTATGTTAACGTTTAATTAGTTATTTATAAGATACGACCATTTACATTATGAATGTATAACTTTAACGAAAAATAAAAATGACTTTCTTTAACAATACATTGATGAATTGTTTAGATAGTTCAGGTGTGTTCCTCGAAGGGTGAAACTTTATTTAGGATACGTTTTTGAAAGATCAAATGTATTATATACTCAACTATAATAAACCTTTTCTTGTTTTCTGAAAGTCTTCCTGAGTGAAAAATATGTCACTCTTCAAACTTCCCTTTTATTGATACCTTTCCAACGTTTTCAAAATGACAATTATCACATAAAAAAGAAAAAAGCGTATTGCTACAAAGAGGAATTCATTTGAATTAATTTTTTTTTTTTATTGTCGACGAATCCATAAATTCTAATCATCATAGGGACTCATTATCATTTTTTTATTCACTGATGCCACAAAAATAAATATTTATAAAATTTTTCTAAATCAGAATATACCATTGCATTACGCATGAGCATTTTAATTTAATAAGTGTTTATTGTCGTATAAAATAAAAAAAATTAATTGAACACTAAGACAAATGTGAAAAAGTTATGAAATCAACACTTTATTAGTAATGAGTTTGATAAAAATTTTAAACTGCTGTATATGACTAAATTAAATATATTTACATAAAATAGATAAACTAGTTATAAAAAGCTAAATAAAATAGTACTCTCTTTAATTATTCATATAGAGGACAGAGGAAATGAAACGGATAATTTTAAAATAACTATAGATTATTCCGTAGTTCATATTAAAGGTTTTGTAATTTTAAATTTGTTCTATAACCCATGAATTTAATAATCATTAATATTTGAAACACATTGTAACATACATTCGCTGTAAAATCATGTCATATATGACATGACAACTATATAATTGCCTTACGTAACTCTCTACACCCAAAGAAAAACCTCAATCAAAATTGAAAGAGAAATTTTATCAAGGGTTTATGATAATGTTTTATTAATACGAACAAAATAAATATTCTTATAAATAATTATTGTTCAAGACAAAAAATATCATATTGATAAATATATCATTGATTCAATAGTAATGATTTATTTATCAAATTGAACAATGAATTTATTATATAGATCGAGGTTTTTCTCTGGGTGTACATAAAATAAATGTAGATTTATCTGAGTGTTGCGAATATCTTTAACTATGTTTAAGTTATACATTTTATTCGAAAAAATAGTGAAGAATAATTTCATAAATTATTTTTAAAAGTAGAATACATTAATAGCTTAATAGACGAAATGGATAAAATGCCACGAGTTTAGATATTTTATCCAGAAGATTTATCTGAACAGTATTATAAAAGATAAATTTTTTGTCATTTTTAGACTACTTTAAAAGAAATTTAATAAAAAATGTATAAAACACAATTATATTATTTTTGATTTGCAAAATTTACTAAGTTTTCTAGTTAAATTAGATCTAAGTTAGGTTGTAATGACCTAAACACAAATTAATTGAATTTTATAAAAACTTTTTACCGACTTATAACACTTTTGAATCAGAATTGAAGGTGTGGATAGAAAAATGGAAATTGATACCCGATATAGATCTTCCAAAATTGATATAATAGACTTCATGTTGAAGAACTTTTATCCAAACATTTAATATTTAATCTATACATGCAACGCTCCCCGTGTTGACTGCAAATAATATTCTCTCTTGATAGTTCTACACGATTTATTTCAAGAAAATTATACGAATATTAGGGTAAAATAGATAAATTCATATGCAGTGTTCTTATAAAATAACAATATACTTCTGAGTTCAATAAATTCTATAGCAAAACTTTAGTGTTGTTAGTGTATTTGAGGAGGGATTTCTCGCCTTTTTGTTAAATTAAAGAGCGGTTGTATGTGAAGCGGCAACATAACACTAGGTCTGGAGAATAGCTCTAATAAGCAGATTAAGAGAATAGAAGCAGTAAAGAGGGTGAAAAACTTTTTTCCACCCTCTCATTTTCCATCCCTAAATTCTACTATACAGACTTCTATAGAGTCGCTTATTTTACAAAAGTTATGTCTCGTTTGGCCCTCCCTATTCACTTTTCCGAATTCAAACGTAATGATTTACGGCAGTAACTTTTTTTGTTCTCTTGTGTTTTTTTCCAAGTTGAATTGGCCTTATAAGTACTGTAAAATGTAAGTGTGTCATGCAATATTTGTGGTTTTCATACATTTATTTTTATTTTTGGCGAACTTCTTCTCAGTGTATTTGAGAATAACAGAAATGTAGGACAGTCATTCGTAGACGTCTAATAGACGCCATTAGCTAAGTTGTTATATATTGTTAACAGAAAGTTTAGTTTTGGCAACAAAATGTCGGATAGATTTTAGATCTATGAATAATTTTATTTTATGTTTTACTATTAATGACAAGTTAAATTTTATAATTAATTAGTATGTGCGAATAAGATTAATTGTAAACAAAACGTAAAAAACACTTAAAAATGTATTTTGAATTGTTTACAATATAGCTACTGATTTAAGCTTCGATGCGAAGCTGAGAATATATTAGTAATGTTTTTTTTAAATTTTTTTTTGTGTCTGTTACCATTTATTTTCAGCTCTCACTGGACCAATTTTTATGAATAATAGTCAAAAGATCACATATTGTATCTAGTCGAAGACTCTACTCTCAAAAAATGAAAAAAATTCCATCGTTTCCTGTAAATGGGGGAAATTCCCAAAAAAATACAATTTTAAAAATCGGTAATTTTGGACATTTTTTAAAAATGAACATGTCAATATAATTTTTTTATCTTATATCATGTGTGATATACAGTTATCGGTCGGTCACACTACAGTCTTTCACGCTCAGGAATACGAAGTTCGAACTCGGCCGAAGGGTGACTTATTTTTTGCATTTTTTTCTTAATTCTATTCAAAGAGAAAAAAAATTCATTTAATTTTTATTTTATTTAGATTGAATAACTTCAATGAATATCAAGGATCCTATCACTGTAGTTTACTCTTTTAAAAAGGAATTTCTTATTCATATTAAAATTATTTTACTATTCGTTTCTTTTTTGTCTGTCATTAATTTTTCTTACCTCTCACTTAACCAATTCTTTGAACCGTACGCCAAACGATCATAATTAGTATTTAGTTAAAGATTTGCCGATTTTAATCTAGTTGAACTAATAGTTCAACACTAATCAGGATATAATTAAGGAAATAGAAGTTAATGTTGCTTTTGTAATTATGCACCAATTTCTTAGAATTAAACACTATCTACACATTTGCATCAAAGCAATTTTATGATAGTGATTTTAATCACTGTTAGATATCATCTATACTTGTCCCAACTATCCCACGTTCATACTGTGCTACTATTTTTAAAATATAAGTTATTATAGTAAACCAAGGAAAAACAATTTTTTAATAAAAAACTATGATGACATTCCATGAAATATATGTAAGCAATTAACTTTAATTCGACTATACTTCATAAAAGAAAATTCATGACAGTAGTTTAAATTTTTAAATTAACCATACATTTTTCAAAATAATTTAAATAAAAATTTTTATCTTTTTTTGTAACAACTTAATAACGTCTCAGTACTAACCAAAATAATTTTTAAACGCTGATAATGGTAGAGCTGCAACTTATTGATTTTAATTGCATTTATTTCTAAAAAACCATTAACATAGTTCAGAATACAATTAATAACACAATTATTTAACGAATACACGTAGAAAATATCACAACCTAATAAATCGAACAACGCGACACAACCACTAGTGGCTAGGATACGACTGATTACTAAAACTATACCCGCGTATTACCACAGACTCGGTATAGCAAGGAAAATAAAATGAAAAGTGTAGGATGCGCAGCGCTGGATACATTGATAGAACTTGTGGGTACTGGGAAACATTGAAGAAAACAGGGTAGGCCACCTGCGCCCTCATTTTATTTGACCATCGTTACTTTTATCATTAAAATACAACAGTACCACTAAATTATTACGGTAATATGATACAATGATATTTTCGTAAATTAAAATACATTACAAGAAATACATATTGTATAATATGTATAATTATCAATTATTTTCAACGACTTTAATTTACCGAAAACAATGTAAGGATCTTGCTCAGCTAACACGGAAGGCTTCGATTCCGCACTCTATAACGAACCACTAATTTTAATTGCCAGATTATCCTACATACCGTTGTTTATAGACTTACTATAAATTATACACCAATCAATGAATTATTTAAGTTATGAAATAAATCTAAGATATATATACAGAGTGATTTTTTTATCATAACCCACTCAATTACTTACAGAATAATAATAATTTAAACAATTTTTTTTATTCTTATCTTTAGTTACACATTATTCTTGAATTATTAACTATGTAATACTTTTTAAGTTCATCCCTTATGCCTGGTAAGGGTGTCAACTTTGTTTTTTTAAATGGTAACACATATTTTTAATTTAATAAAATGTTTGAGTTTTTAATTCAATAGTAAATGGCATTTGAATTTTTAATATAACTATATTCGTTTATCAGATATAAACATTTAAAGTTTCAAATTTTTGAGTTAATATACATGTATAATACACAAGGGATTATAAATACAGGTAGCTAATTGGATTTTTATGACATTGCTGTCATAGTCACGGATTGTTTATTATCAATTATCACTATCAATAGATATACTTTCTGTATTGTCAGTTAGTGTAATTATAAACTCACAACAATGTACCTTACTATCATTGATAATAACAATACTGTGTACTTGCGAATATCAATGTCATAAAAAACTTATTAGCTACCTGTATTTGTAATGCCTTGTGTATTATACATGTATATTAACTCAAAAATTTGAAACTTTAAATGTTTATATCTCATAAACAAATTAAGTTTTATTAAAAATTCAAATGCCATTTACTATTGAATTAAAAACTCAAACATTTTATTAAATTAAAAATGTGTTACCATTTAAAAAAAACAAAGTTGACGTCCTTACCAGGCATAAGGAAGGAAATTAAAAAGTATTACATTAATAATAATTTAAGAATAATGTGTAACTAAAGATTATCAAAAAACAAAAAATGTTTAAATTATTATTATTCTGTAAATAATTGAGTGGGTTATGATAAAAAAATCATAGTATAGTCATTTTACACATAATTATTCATGAATTTAAAATAAAATTTCAACAACAAAAATATATCATTCTACAAACTTTGAAAAAAAATTAATTACTACTATACTGTTTGTTTAAAAAAATTAAAATTATTAAAATACAATTAGTAAATATAGTTTTAAAATATTAATAATATTTGAGTTCTTTTACATCGATCAGCCAAAGTATTCCAGTGAGAGTTTTTAGGGTATATATAATACTTTCTCAGCTTCAAATCGCAGCTAAAAAAGTCAATAACTATTTTTATTTATCTATAGCATTTAATTGCACAACTGAAACGGGAATTCTATTTTATAAAAAATAAAAAATTTTATTAGTTCAAAATTTATTTGAAAACAGTTTTATACCGAAATTATTAAAAAAATAAAACCGGAAAACCTACCGTAATCAATATATTATTCCTGTTCTATCCTGGGTCTGGAACTATCAAAATGACTAGTGCCATTACTCTAGAGAAAAAAGTGAAAAATATATAAGAACGAAGAAAACACAATTGAAGTACTAAGATTACATTAAAGAAACATTTTTTTTTATTTATACAATACTTGGTTAAATTAATAAAATGCCTCAAAATTACACCAAATATTTTAAACAGTTAAAATTTTTTATGATAATTTAAGAACACTAAAAATTTCAATAAGTTGCACTAAAAAAATTATTTTTATAGTTTACTTTGGAATGTTGCAACTATGTCTTTCAAAAAAATGAATTAAAATGTTTTTCTACTCTGGATAGTAAGCATATTACTTCTTTAAAAAAAAAAAAAAACAATTATGAATTATTTAGCAGCGCCGATTTTAGGGTTAGTCAACTAGTTATTTGTTTAGGGCTGCCATGCCTGGATTAAGACATTTCATGATTCGGAATATAAAACTCAAAGATACCTATACATAATAGTCATTCAAACTTTTAATATTATTTTATACTTTAATGAAAAATATGAGACACAAATCTTGAGACAAAAACATTCAATTTAAACCCTACGCTAAGTTTAAGATGATTTTTTTGTTCATCATTAAGAGTAGTGAGCAAAAAAAAAAATCCACGACTCTGAAACTGTTATGATCCAGAGTATTAGCATAAAACCTTGATGCAACATTTATTGTAGATATAAAATTAATTGAACATAATTTTTTAGTAATATGATTTCATCATATCCACTATTTAGTTTAGTTAATAATATATATATATATATATATAAACTAAAATTTTATTTATATAAAAAGCTTTATTTTTTTTTTGAGAGTATGAATTTTTTTGGTAATAAATATGAGTTGATTTTAATATTTTACCTAAATTACATAAAACATATTTTGAATGCTTATTTTAGCAGCATATTTAGTTTTCAAGTTTATATATATGTCATATTCTTCTAAAAATGAGTAGAACAAAATTAGCAGTGTAAAAACTAATTTATTAATAAATATAAATTATAAATTTAATGTATATATACATAAAAATGTTCATAATATGTATCATAATTAATGTTTAAACCATAAAAGCTCTACCCACAATTATTATATGGGAAAAGTACATATTTCTTAAAATATTTGAATTGTGTTACAAAATAGATTAAAATAAAAAATTAACAATTGAGATAGACATCAATTAGCTATTATTTTGAATTTCAGTCAAAGCTCCTGCCCATTTATCTTCATACATATCTGTTCTAATGGTTATTGATTGGGTACAGTCATTTGTTTTATAAATTCCTACTAATAAATTGGCTCTTTCAAACATATTTGAACGTAAAGAAATAATAATAAACTGCGAATTTTTGGTTCGTTCCTGAAAAAATATTCATCTATCATAAATATCAATATAACAATAGAAACTTAACTATAATTATTACCTTTATATAGTAGGCAATTATTGACACATTTTTAAAATCTAATGCTGCATCAATCTCATCCATAACATACAATGGTGATGGTTTATAGTAATGGAGAGCAAATACAAGAGCTAAAGAAGATAAAGTTTTTTCGCCACCTGATAGGTTAGAAATAACTTTCCAAGTTTTTTTTGGTGGCCTCACACTAATAATCAACAATTTTATAAATAACAAAACTAAAATTCAAGGAAATTTAAAACAGACATACCTAAAATTAACACCTTCACTAAAAGGATCTAATGAATCTACTAACTCAAGTTCAGCATCACCACCAAGTGTTATCATTTGATACATTTCTTTTAACTTTATAGTTATTTTTCTAAATGATGCCATAAATTCATCTTTTCTTCTTTGGCGAACTTTATTAATCATATCAGAATGATCATTGTATATTTTTAACACTGAAGCAACTTCATCTGCTTTTTCATTATACTGCCTAGTCTTTATAAAGTATAAACATAATTTAAGCTACTATATTATTTATAATAATATTAAAATGTTAAAGCACATACTCTATTTTTATATTCTTCAAGTACTCCAAAATTAGGTTTTTCTTTTTTTAATTCTTCAGTCAAGATACATCTATTTTGTTCAAGATCTTCATAGTTTAGTTCAACTAATTCTTCATTTGAATACTGAACCAATTCAGTATCATTTTTGTCTTCATCATTTACTTCTTCAGTATTGTTCTGCCCTTCAATGTCCATTTTATTTAACTCTGTACTATTTTGTTCTTTGTTTATAGGTGTTATTTTATTTTCTTTATTAATATCACCCCGGTTTTGATATGATTCCAATATTGGGTCTCTTTGTGTATTATCAATTTTAGGAATATTATGTAGTTTTAATTTACTGAGCTAAAATTTAAAAAAATAATCAAAGAAACGAATTTAATTATTATGAAAATATATAATTAATGACTTACATTCAATTTTAAGTGTTTACATTGATCAGAGTATTTTATTCTTTCACCTTCAATAGTGTCCCAATCTTGGGATAATTTTATTTTTTCTTTACGTAATTCATTGCTTCTTCGAAGATTCTCATCATCCTTATTTTTAATTTCTTCAATATTGTTTTTTTGATCATCAATGTTGTTCTAAATGAAAAATGTAAATAACACTTAAGTTTCTGTAAAACAGTATATTCTCCAAATTTTACTCACATTCATTTCAGTTAACTTTTCATTTAATTCATCAATTATATCTTGATTTTTTTTAAATTTTTCTTTAATGGATTCAACTCTTTCTTTACATTCTGTCACATCATCTTCTAAAGTTTTAATTTGGCTTTCTGATTTTTTTATCTGTCTATAAAATGTAGAAGTATATTATATCTTTATTTTAAAAATAATAATCCTATATAACATAATAAATATAAACAATGAACCACAAATTAAAAATTTTGAAATTATCTGATTTTTTTGGTAAATTTTTAAATAATTCCAAACTTATCTTAAGAGATATAGGCATACATTATTTATATTGAGATGTATTATTTCATCAACCTTTTATTATTTGTAATGTTATTTGCTAATTAATTAAAATTTTGGAATTAGGAAGTGGTTGCACCCTAAAAACACCGCATCACTTTTATTTTTTCTAGCTCAGAGCTTTGGATATAAATTTATGGAAGGTGATATTTATTATATACTATATTGTTTTTAATATTATTTGATTATATGTGAAAAAATATGTAATTAACCGTCAAATGCTCACTTACTTAATCTAAATATATATATGTTTAATCAACTTAAAGTAATGACTCGTCAACTTAGAGATAAGGAGTAGGTGTAGCTATTTTTATTACTAGACATTTCTTCATCTCTTCTCCTACTTAGGTATCAAAATTTTAATAACTTCTGAAATATTGACCCATAAGTTTTAATTGACTAAAAGTTTTCCTAATTAGATCATTTTATATTTTATAAGCTAGTGAAATATGTATATTTCCATTAAGAAAATGAAAGTTGACACCCCTATAAGACATAAAAGATAAATACAAAATTTATTTTATAAGAAATACATGTGTAATTAACAAAAGAAAAAAAATTTTTTCTATAAATATTTTCAATATTATTATTTTAAAAGAAATGAGTAGATAGTGTTAAAAGAATCACCCTGTATTGTTTTACTACCTCTATTCATGGACTGTGAAAGCTGCCTGCCTTTGTCAAATAACACAAAGAATATTTTACATTGACAACAACTTAAATTCAAATTAAACGATTTGATAGCTAGATATGTATGTTTTGTGTTAGTTTTTTTTTTAGTTATACAAAAAATTTCAAGGGGTGCAATGGCACCTTCTGACCATTGATGTTCTAAGAGAAGGCGTCCCTGAAATTAACTGTATTTTTTCATACTAGCTATTTATTACAATATTGTTTTTTTCGATGAAAATTATTAATATTTAAGCAATATTGTTAAAATTACTACAATTTCATTATACAAAATGATAGACGTCTTTATCGTATGTTAATAACATAAATTTTTTAATTTTAATGGTCATTAAATTAAAATTGATAATACTTATTTAATCTATTGTTTTACATGATAATTGTAATAACAAAAACGTTTGTAAATGTATTGTTTACAATTAATAATAAACAAAAACTAAGCCATTTGAATATTTAAAAACAAAATGCATTTTTAAGTAAAGAATGTTAAAAAATTATAACTTAAAATGATGATTTATACAAATATGTGAACAAATTCAATTCATAATTGTCAAAAATTTGTTAATGTTTTATAACACTTCAATATTACTATTAGTGTTTTACACTTTAATTATAGATAATCATTCAAGCTTTAATAATTCTCATATAAAAATCCACATACAATTACTAGTATTAAACATAAAGATAATGTTTTTTGTTCTGTTTTTTTATTACAGAGTGAAGACCAATGTTAGATATCACAGAAAATTCAAATTATAATGAACTTCAAAAAACTTTAGCAATTTCAAAGCTAAATTTAAATAAGACATTTTTATATCAATTTTTTTTTTTTACTCATCTTAAATTGTATCAAAAGTTGAAGGAGTTGTCAGTTAGGTTTGTTCTACTCTGTACACATAAATGTGATTTACTAAACATAATACCCATTTAACTTTTTAGAACTAATTTTAATTCTAATTTAAAAAACGTGACTTAGATAACAATTTATATTTTAAAGATTACACATAAACTTATATAGATTATATTAACCTTTCAGCAGCTTGAATATCAACTGTTACTTGATTGATTCCACTTCGAGTTTGCTCTAATTTAACTGTAGCTTCATCTAATAGTCTTTTAGCTTCTCTAGGTTCACCTTCTGTAATTTCTTCAATTTTTTGTTTAAGCATATCCATCTTAGACTTGATTTTATGATATTCAATTTCAGATTCTTCTAGTTCTGAATATTAAAAATTAAAAAGTTAAATGTAAAATAATAGTAAACTTATAACACAGAACTAAGGTAATGATTAAAATAAAAATATTAAAATTAAAACATATATCAAGGTTATTACGTTTTAAACATATAGTTTAAAACACAAAAAATTAAAACTTTACTTTAATCTTATGGGTTTTTTTTTTAATGTTTCAAACTGTTTAATTATGTTTTAAACAGATCTTTAAAACATGTTTTATAACAAACAAAACTTAGAAATCTTCTTTCTACTCTTCTTCTTTTTCAACGACTTTCTAACTACTTGAGTTCGGCAATCCTTATCCTAAACTTCTACTTGACACAATACCCCACATCATTTTTGCTCACATCAGCTGCCCTCATATAGCATTCAATAACATTCCTCCATCTCTCTTTTGGTCTACCTCTACCACTTCTTCCTTCTACATTCATTTCTATAACTGTTCTTACAGCTTACAATTCCTCTTTCCTCATAACATTACCAAACCATCATAGTCTATTTGCTTTTATCTTAATCATGATTGACACTACACCTATACTACCTCTTATATGTTTGTTTCCTATCTATCTTTTTTAGTGACTCCACTCATTCATCTAAGCATTCTCATCTCTGCTACACTCATTCTCTGCTATATTTTCTTGTTAGCCGCCCAACACTCTGAACCATACATCATAGCTCATCTCACTACAGTCTTATAGAATTTTCCTTTCAGCCTTATATAAAATTATAAAAGAAATCTAATCAAATATAACTGAGAAAAAAATTATAATAATTGAAAACCTTTTTCTGCCCTTTTTATTTCCGCTTCTTTTTTAGCAACAGCTACTGGGTCAGTTTTTTTTTGTATAATAATTTCTTTCTGTATTTCAATTAACTTTTTAACTTGATTTTCTTTTTCTCGCCATGACTATAATTATTATGAATATATGTATATAAAAATAAATACAAACAAGGTGATTTGTTTATCATAATTCACTTAATTATTTAAAAATAAAAATAAATTAAAAAATTAATCAATCCATTCCAAATATCTATAAGGGTATTCACTTTTTTTTTTATATATATATAGCAACAAACATATTTAACTAGCTAATAAAATAAAAAATGGTTTAATGAAGAAAATTACTAGTCCATAACAACTTTCAGACCATTACTTTAAAAATTATTAACATTTTCAAACTTAGGGATGAGTACAGCTGAAAAATGTCTAATAATAAAAATAGTTATACCAGTGCTTCATCACAGTCAATATTCAAAAAATGTTAATGATTTCTGAAATAATGATTATAAGTTGTTATCGACTAGTAATTTTCTTCATTACACCACTTTTTATTTTTTAAGCTAGTCAAATATGTATATTAGTGTTTGTAAAAATAATTTTAACACTATTATAAGGGATAAATTGAAAAAATAATCAATAATTGAGAAATATATGTCACTAATAAAAGTCAAAAAAAATATATCTGGATTAATTTTTAATTTGTTAGCAGTTGAGTGGGTAATGATAAATAAATCACCTGTGTATAAAATTTCTTTTAAAATTTTTTTCCAGTTAATATTTACATTAATACGTGATAAACATTGTTTAACAATCATATTCAGATCATCTATTTTTCTTTGGTAATGCTCCATATTAGCTTGACAATCAAAAATATTAGATTGTGTATTCCTTAGTTTTTGTTCTAATTCTTTAGTTATTTTATCCAGATTTTCTACTTCACTTTGGCTGACTTGTGATGCAGAAGTATTGGCACATTTAGATCTGATTTCCTGAGGTCCAATCTTACCTTTAATAGGTCTTCCACCTCCCGACATAATACCTTTATGTATAATAAAATTATTACATATTTAAAGTACAATATTTTTACTTTTATTTTAATATCTAACCAGACTGATCAATTAAATCTCCTCTGTATGTTACAACTCTATAGCGAGTTTGAGTGCCAAATGCTATACGTCGGGCTTGTTCTATATCTTCTGCTAACAGTGTATCATACAATCCAGAATAAAACGTTAAACGGAATTTTTGATCTAATATTTGGATAAAATCAAATACTCTTTTGGCATTTTCTGGACTGCAATCAGTTAAAAAAAGATAAATTTTCAATTTTGATTTTAACTATATCTTGCTGTTTCTATTTGAACGATTAATTATATACTGAGTGATTGATTTAACATTATCCACTAAATTTATTTTTCATAAAACAATAATACTTTCAAGAATTTTTTATTTACAAATAGTAAAACATTTTTGAGGTTCAGCCATTTCTCATATAAGAGTACTATTTTTTTTTAATGGCATCATACATAATTTACAAAACTTAAATTTTAAAATAATCTACCACACTACTCCTCCCACATAGTTACAATACATAACCTTGGAAATACTAATCCAAAAGTTGTTATCGACTAATAATTTCCTTAGTTGAATAATTTTCTATCATTTAAAAGACAATAAAATATGTATTGTGTTGTTAAAAAAATAAACTTAGTACTCTTTTATGGAATAATAGTATAACAACTTTTTTATGAAACATTAAGCCATAAATTAAAGTTTGTTAAATATATGCTTATATTTAACACGTAGCAATGTTTTAAAAAATAATGTTCAGAAAACATTTTATGGAGTGTCTAATGTACTTATATATTATATAAATGTTTTTCAACATTATTAAACCTTTTAAATTAAATAATTCTACATTGGAAGTATACTTTTAAAAACAGGAATTTCTGATTGTATACAAAAATAGTATAATATATTATTTTTGTTTACGGCAAAAATTAATTTTAGACTTAATTTTAAACCCAAACAAACAAAAGCAAATTCCATGTAACTTTTTTTATGCAATAGCTTAGTCTAAAAGTTATATTCTATAGGTATTATTACAAAAGTTTCATTTTTAGATAAAAATTAAAGGATTGAAAATCTACCCTTATGTGCAATTTTTCAAGCCTTATGCTTGCTTAATTTGTGAATAAGTTAAGTTAGAGTATATAGGAAATATTTTTTTTATAATCTTTGAATAATACAAGAGTACTTATTTTGAAATTTTAAACTAAGTGTTTTCTGGACCATCACTAATAAATGTTTATCATTTGAATTAACATAAACAGGAATAATTTATACATAAATTAAAAATTAAAAAAATCATAGAAGTCATAAAATTGAAATTAAAAATATTTTATTATTAAAATTGAATAAATCAGTAACTTATGTAGTTTTATCAATGACTTTTATTTTTTGTAGTAAATATTTATGATACAATGTAATATATTAAACATATTACAAATTTAGTATTTTCATCAAATTTGAAAAAATAAGTGACTTGTGTCACTTCAGAAATAATTGATTCAATCACATTATGAAAGAAAAGATAAGGACATTGTATTTATAATTAAGGATTTTAATAACATATTTAAAAATTTTAAAAAAATAAGCAAATAAAAGTGAGCTTTATATACAGGTGATCCTCAATGTTTACACAAATTTAATGACTTTTAATGTACTATACAGTGATTTTTTTTTATCATAACCCACTGAATAACTTGCAGAATAAATATTATTTAAATATTTTTGGTTTTCAATAGTTACACACTGTTCTTGAATTATTAACTATGTAATANTTTTTTTTATTACTATCTTTAGTTACACATTATTCTTGAATTATTAACTATGTAATACTTTTTAAGTTCATCCCTTATGCCTGGTAAGGGTGTCAACTTTGTTTTTTTAAATGGTAACACATATTTTTAATTTAATAGTAAATGGCATTTGCATTTTTAATATAACTATATTCGTTTATCAGATATAAACATTTAAAGTTTCAAATTTTTGAGTTAATATACATGTATAATACACAAGGGATTATAAATACAGGTAGCTAATTGGATTTTTATGACATTGCTGTCATAGTCACGGATTGTTTATTATCAATTATGACTATCAATAGATATACTTTCTGTATTGTCAGTTAGTGTAATTATAAACTCACAACAATGTACTTTACTCTACCATTGATAATAACAATACTGTGTACTTGCGAATATCAATGTCATAAAAAACTTATTAGCTACCTGTATTTGTAATGCCTTGTGTTAATTTTTTAAAATGTATTTTTAAAAATGGCAAACTTAATTTTTTTTTTCATTTTCCCAAGTTAATAAAAAATGTATTTCTGATGATATTATAAAAGTCCTAAAGTGTAATATTAGTAATAAAAAAACCACCCGCATAGTGGGGTCGTGATACAGCGTAGACACAGAATCGTTAGGAAAAATATAGATAATATCTGACAGTGATTAAGACCATTATCATAAGAAACACTTCAATACAAATCTATAGATAGTATTTAATTAAAAAAAAAATTGGTGGATTATTCCAAAAGCAAAATTAATTCCTATTTACTTTGTTATTCCTGATTAGTAAAAATCATTTTTAAAAAGTTATTACAGTTTTAAGTATTAAAATATTTACATGATAAATGATGATTTTTAAATAAAAATTACATTTTTTGTTCAATTCAGCGGCCATAGAAGAAAAGGTGTCAGTATTTCCAGGACATTTTGAAAACTTAAATTGAAGAAGTTAAATTATTGTGCTGAAATTTCTATTTTGAATCCCAGCCTGAAGGCAGGTAAAGTTTTACCAAAAAATTTATATTAAATGAAAGAAAAATACCTAAGGCCTTAATATAAAAAAATTATTTTGATTTGTTCATTTTTAAAAAAGTTATGACAGTTTTCAGAAAAAAAGTTGAAAAAATATCAAAAATACCGATTTTAAAAATCGTAAATTTTTAGAAGATTTCCCCCATTTACAGCGGAAGATGGAATTTTTTTTCCATTTTTGAGGGTAATGTCTTCGATTTGTGATCTTTTGACATATCGTTGAAAGAAATCGGTTTGGTGAGAGCTGAGAAAAAGTGGTGACAAAAAAAAAAAAAAAAACACATCATAGTAAAATTAATATCTTCTCAGCGTCGTATGATACCAAATAGTAACACAAAATATTGAGAGAATCAAAAGTTATTAAATTTGTTAAAACATCATAAACCACTCTGTTTATTAACAAGAGTTAATACTAATAAAATATAATAATAAATTCAACATCAGCTTGATTACTTTTACTTACTAATTATTATTGGCATCTGCACGAGGTTTTAATTTTTGAATCTGAGGTAGGATTGAAAAGGTTAAACGGCCAACTTTATTGACTCTTAATTTTTGAATACATGCATGAGCTACATCAGATGATTCAACAACTATTTGATCAGTGGATCCACAAGCTGTACATGCAGGTACATCATATTTACCTTCAACTTGACCATAATCTCCCTAAAGTATGTATTAAGTTAAATTGAGTAATTTTTACATAATAAGTTTTAACTTTTAAGATATATATAATACTGACACATCTACCGAGTATTCCACTGATTTCTCCACTCTCTTTAAATTGTAAAATATATTGTATAGGACGACTTCGTTCAGTAGTTTCAGCATATGCCGTTCTCTTTTCAGTCAAACTTTGTCGTATATTTTGTAAATTAATTTTTATTTGCTGTTCATCTTTCTGTAATTTATCTATATTCTTATCCATTTCTTTGATTAGTTTAGTATTGTTTAAAATTTCTTCTTCAGCTTTTTCTTTTTTACTAAAATAAAAAACATACATAACAGAAAATTGGCATTGAACTTAGAATTACACAAAGTTGACATCTCTGACTTATTCTATCCGACATTTATATAACATACTCAAAATGATTAGAACTATGTGTCAATTTGAGCTTATTTAAAAGATTTTTATAGTGTACTTTTGAATTAATAAAAATATTTATTTTTGACCCATTTAATCTTTAAAAATGTAAAAAAATCACAATAAATTTTATAAAAATATGGTATGGATCACTTGTAAAAAATTATAAAAAAATATTATTTGAAAGCATTACTTAATAGATTAAAAAAACTGTTAGTATTTTTCTATACCATCAAAATTAATTGATAATAGAGCTACTTTGATAGAAAGAGTGAACTTTCTTTAATATGTTTGATACTCCCATAGTAGAGTAGATAAAAAAAAAAATTAAAGAAAAAACAAGTTTTTATTGTCTGTAAATAAATACAGAGAATAAATTTATTTAATATAGTAATAATTTTTAGTTTTAAATTAATATTATAAATATTACTTTAAATAATATATTTTTAATTTTGTTTAACAGAGAGGATCACACTTTTTTGGGGAAAAAAATTAAAATTTACAATTAAATTGAATTTTTTATTGATCAAAAATTAAATTCAGATAGTTTGGATAATACCTATCTCTACTAGTTATTTGATTTATTAATAAGCATAAAGATTATAAATTTAAAATATTATTAGTTAAAAATTGTTTTGATATTAATATAAAATTTAATTTTTATGAATGAATTAAAATACATACAATCAGATTTCCCCTAATAACATCATTGATAATCATGCTTTACCTTAAATTATTTTTATATTCTTCAGTTCCAGTAACAAGTTGTTCTTCAAGTTTACTTAGTTTTGCTTTTTCAGATTTTTCAGTATCCAAGAGAACTTCAAATTCAGTTTTTAATGTTTGAACCTAAAAAAATACATTATTATAATACACAAAAAAACTATTATTTGTAACTTACAAAACTAAACTTTATATAAAGTTTAATTCAAAGTTAAAATTTGATACTAAGTTTGAATGCTCATAATTTTAAAGGCTTTTTTTTATGGGTATATTAGATTTCATTCCAACTATTTTTATTTTAAAGGTAATATATAGTTAAAATGCCACCTCATTTTGTGGCAACTAGGAATGGCTAGATCTTCATATTTTTAACCATTTCATTTATCAAAAATTTCTGAAATCAAACGTGTACAGAGTGATTTTTTTATCACAACCCACTCAATTACTTACAGAATAATAATAATTTAAACATTTTTTTTTATTATTATCTTTAGTTACACATTATTCTTGAATTATTAACTATGTAATACTTTTTAAGTTCATCCCTTATGCCTGGTAAGGGTGTCAACTTTGTTTTTTTAAATGGTAACACATATTTTTAATTTAATAAAATGTTTGAGTTTTTAATTCAATAGTAAATGGCATTTGAATTTTTAATAAAACTTAATTTGTTTATTAGATATAAACATTTAAAGTTTCAAATTTTTGAGTTAATATATAGGTATAATACACAAGGGTTTACAAATACAGGTAGCTAATGGATTTTTTATGACATCGATATTAGCAGGTATACAGCATTGTTATTATCAATGATAGTAAGTTACATTGTTGTGAGTTTATAAATACACTAACTTACAATACAAAAAGTGTATCTATTGATAATCATAATTGATAATAAACAATCCGTGACTGAGACAGCANTATTGAATTAAAAACTCAAACATTTTATTAAATTAAAAATATGTGTTACCATTTAAAAAAACAAAGTTGACACCCTTACCAGGCATAAGGGATGAACTTAAAAAGTATTACATAGTTAATAATTCAAGAATAATGTGTAACTAAAGATAAGAATAAAAAAAATTGTTTAAATTATTATTATTCTGTAAGTAATTGAGTGGGTTATGATAAAAAAATCACTCTGTATATAGACAAATATTGAATGATTTATAATTTAAAAAGTGAAATTAAAAAAGTCATTAATAGCAGAAAATGTTGATAGAATTTTTATAGAAATAGGTGAAATTCTTAAACAGTTGCTATTCAGGACATTATAAAGGTATAACACATAATATCTAATGATGTTATGAATAAGAAAAAATTGATATTGGTCTTGGCATAAAATTTCCCATAAAATTAACAAATAAATAAAAATACACATAACAATCTATGACCCTTGCTACCAAGGCTTTAATTTATAATGAATATAACACTATTAATACGTGGAATAGAAAACACTGTTATATGATACATCATTGATATTTTTAGGTTTGATACGAAATTGAAAAGTTATTAATTTTATATAACATATTTTTCATACGTCTATTCATAAAAATTCTCAATTCTTACTGGACTAAAGCTGATTAAAATGTTACAACTATTATTCTACTGTATAAAATCAGCTTCCAAAGTAATAACTGTGCAATTTTAACTTTAAGCTTATATTAAATTAAATATTTTCAAATTTACTTTAAGATAAAAACTTTCTGACGATTAATCTTCTTTAAATGTAATTTAATCTTGTCAGTTAAAAATTATATTAATATTCTTTTTATAAACAATTGTATTGAAATAATTTATAATAGTAATATTAATCACTATGAGATTTTTAATTTGATTTATTGAAAATGTTGCAGAAAAATTTACATTAACATAAACTTATAATAAAAATATATACCTGGTTCTGTTTACCACCAACTATTTTTTGAAGTTTTAACTCTTCAGGGGCTAACAAATCCTTCTCTTCTCTAAACTTTTTTGATTTTTCAAATCCACTTGAATTTACTTTAGTATAATTTGTTTCAAGCTTCAAACATTCTTCCTCTAAAGGAGCTAAATTGGATTTCAGTCGCACAAGTTCGGCTTCTTTTATTTTAGGAACTCCTTGCGCTTTAGTTATCTATTCATTTAATAAAATCTTAGAGTAAATAAAATACTTTAAGTGCAGGAGGGCTATATCTCGAAAAAAATTTGTTTTGAGATAAATATTTTCAAAGTTTAGACCTTCCATAAGAGTTACACTGTATATTAGTTTATTTAAACAAAGTATAATAAACTATATTAAAATGTAAAAATTACAAATTTTGATATATGATCCTCTTACACTAATATTACAATACATATTATTTATTTAAAAATGTTATTTTAAAATGTTTAAAAGTACCTTATTTTCTTCAGTTTTAATTGACTTTTCATATTTTTTAATTTGGTCATTAATTTGTGTAAGATCACTTTTCAGTTGTAAATCTTCATTCAAAAGTACTTTCAATTTTTTTTCAACAGAATCTTTTTTCTTAATATCTCCTTTTAATTTACTAGACAATTTTATTTAAATTAAGTTTAATAAGCATATGCCTGTTATATGTCACTTATAAATGTTAAAAAAAAATTAAGAAAAATATTTACAAATATTAGAATTCTTATAATTATATCAATATTGTTAAGTATTATTGGCTACTTTTATCAGCAATGATGAACTTCTGTTTTAAAATATGTTTAATGTTTGTATTGAATCAGAATTATCGGAGTTTTCGGGTGAAACAAGGTGTAATTAGACAAGGTTACATACTACTGCCTCTCCTATTCAATATTTATGGAGAGTGAATCATGAGAAAAGCAACTGAAATGGAGGAGTGTCCATTGGCCGAATTAAAATCTATAACTTAAGATATACTGATGACACTGTTATATTAGCTAGCACCAAAAGTGAAATAGCAGTTTCCTTGAAAAAGTTTGGGAAAATCTTTTCCCGAAAAGAAGATTGAAAGGAACTTTTGATTGTGTTTATACTGGGTTAACCTTTGAAGAATATAAATAACTAACATAATATTGATAACAATAACTTTAAATTTAAAATGAAATAAAAACATAGTTTGTCTAACTTACTCTGTAAGACTACGTAATGCACCTTCTTTGTTTTTTTTACTTTCAGCTATTGATGCAAGTTCGTCTTCTATACAATTCAATTTATCTTTAATAGAATTTTGATCTTCAGTTTTAGTTGCTATCAATTTATTTAGTTCAGCCCTTTAGAAAAGTTTTAGTATATAATTTTTTAATTTTTATAATAATAGCTTAGTGTAAAATGTGACAAGTGCATTTGTACAATCTTCCAAGAGAAATATTTAAAATTTTTTATATCTTATTATTTTTTAATGCAATGTTACTAATTTGATCCTAAATACACCTAGCAAATTTTTGCACTAAGCCATCATAAAATAATAAAAAATGTATGCAGAATTTTTTTTTTTTTAAATCATACATGTAATGCTTAGAATATAATGGGTATAGTGATATTTTTATAATTTTGAGATTATCATTCTTACTGTTTTCATTTTCTATTAAATATCATATTATGGTGTTTAATAGGAAATAAAAAATGAGAAGTAGAAAAAAATAAATTTTTTTTTTTATAAATTAATAATAAATTTTATTACCAGGTAGAACTAACAATTTTCAATTTAACTTTTTACTTACAAAGTTAGATTTTAAAAAAATGTTAAGACGTATGTTTAAAAAATATATGTCCATACACATTTTAAGTGTTTCATATTACATTGAGGTAGAATTACCTATTGTAGCCATTCTTAACTTCGTCTGTGGCAAATTCTTTGTTAAAATTTATCAAATTATTTATACCAGAAAAACAATCTTAATAGTGAATCCGTAAAAATAATAGCATGTAAAAAGAATGTCATGACCAAATTTCATAATTTTCTTTTAAAAATATTATTAGTCATAGGTAGAAGCTGACCTTAAATAGTAATTCTACCCTATACAGGGTGATTTTTTTATCATAACCCACTCAATTACTTACAGAATAATAATAATTTAAAAATTTTTTTTTATTACTATCTTTAGTTACACATTATTCTTGAATTATTAACTATGTAATACTTTTTAAGTTCATCCCTTATGCCTGGTAAGGGTGTCAACTTTGTTTTTTTAAATGGTAACACATATTTTTAATTTAATAAAATGTTTGAGTTTTTAATTCAATAGTAAATGGCATTTGCATTTTTAATATAACTATATTCGTTTATCAGATATAAACATTTAAAGTTTCAAATTTTTGAGTTAATATACATGTATAATACACAAGGGATTATAAATACAGGTAGCTAATTGGATTTTTATGACATTGCTGTCATAGTCACGGATTGTTTATTATCAATTATCACTATCAATAGATATACTTTCTGTATTGTCAGTTAGTGTAATTATAAACTCACAACAATGTACCTTACTATCATTGATAATAACAATACTGTGTACTTGCGAATATCAATGTCATAAAAAACCAATTAGCTACTTGTATATGTAATCCCTTGTGTATTATCCCTATACAGGTGTTCAGTAAGTCAGGAAACGGGTTTCTCATTGTTACAAACAATATATTAAGTATATTAACTCAAAAATTTGAAACTTTAAATGTTTATATCTAATAAACAAATTAAGTTATATTAAAAATTCAAATGCCATTTACTATTAAATTAAAAACTCAAACATTTTATTAAATTAAAAATACGTGTTTTCATTTGAAAAAACAAAGTTGACACCCTTACCAGGCATAAGGGATGAACTTAAAAAGTATTACATAGTTAATAATTCAAGAATAATGTGTAACTAAAGATAATAATAAAAAAAAAATGTTTAAATTATTATTATTCTGTAAGTAATTGAGTGGGTTATGATAAAAAAATCACCCTGTATATATATAAAAAAAAATAATAATTTAATACTAACATTTGTTTTTGAAATTTTTTATTTTCGAGTTGAGTTAACTGATTTTCTAATTTAAGATGTCTTATAGCGGCTTCAACGGGTTCAATTAATTCATCCCTTTCTTTGGCAATAAATTTTAAACGACTTATTTTTTCATTTTTTTCTTCGCCTAATACTTGCATTTTTTCTGCTAGTTTTTCAAGTGGTTTCTAAATCATGAAAATTATTATTTACTATTAAAAAGAAACACAAAGATGTTTAATAATTCAAGTTAAAGGCATCTAAAAAAAGTGTATTTGTAGTTTTACTTAGAGCACTTTTACTGTTTAATAAAATCAATTTTTTTGGTATACGTTAGTTACATATGTATTTTCATTTATCTGTTATAAAATATTTTTTATATTTTCTCTTTATGGCTTATAAAGGTGTCAGTTTAGTTTTTAATTGCAACATATATATTTAACTAGTTTAGAAAATAAAAATTATACAACTAAGAAAATAACTAGTGTTTCGTTTGTAATAAACATTTTTAAATATAGATGGGGGGCGAGGTGTGGATTTTGTTATTTTTATTATTACACATTACTCTGTCTCGTTACTCCTGTCACCCAGATATAAAAATCTTAACTCCTGAAATACTGATTCAAAAGTTGTTATTGGAAAGTCAATTTATATTAAATGAACTAGTTAAATGTGTATGTTGTCATTAAAAAAAAATAATATTAGTACCCTTATAATAAATAAACATAAAAAGTATTTAACCACTTAAAAGTTGATTAACCCTTAATTACCGACGTGGGGTCTATCAGACCGCACCAAATTTTTGTTCACAATTTACTATTTATACATTGTTGTCAATTGTATTTTCTATTAATGTATCTTTAAATGGTTGACACCTAGTTATTAATTATATGAAGTACAAGAGTACAAGAGTACAATCTGGCAGACCGCACTTCAGTAATTATGTCATTTACTTACACGTCGGTAGTTAAGGGTTAAAATCAAATTTTAAGTGGTAGAAAAAAACAAAAATTTTATTCAAAGGCCATAACTTTAAAAAAAAAAGTATTTATCTAAAATTGTTCATGTAGAGGGATGTAGATATAATCTGTGATATTCCAAGACATGTTTTAGTACATTAAAAAAATTATTTTGAATCTCTTAAAAAATAAATTCTAGAAATACAAATGACTACAATTGCTTTTATTATTTTAACTCATTCTCTTCCTAACTAAAATATTTATATATATTTTTTTCTAAGTCACCCTCATTCCAGAATTATCCAAGTTTAAACTCATCCAAATAAACCCACCAACTTCAAAATAACTTTATATATTTTATTAAAGTGTCATAATGATACAATTAATATTATTAATAAAATAAATGTTTAATGTTTTTATCAAATTTAAGAAATAAAAGTAATGTAAACTATAACCTAATTAACTTGAGTGGTTGTAAATGAATAAGTTTTATGTATATATATGAATTATTAAGAATTTTTTAACAATACATAACAAAAATTATTTTTTTTTTAATTATAATAATATTTATTTCAAATATAGAAACAAATTTTTAAGCCCTTAAAGGCAAGTAGTACATATATTAAAACTAACATTTAGTATGATTTTTACAAACAGTAAAATAAATTTTAATTATAAATTTATAAACACATACAAATTAAAATTACAATTTAATGACCTAAAACCTAATGAATAATAAAAAAATTAAAATTATATAAGGTCATTCCAAGTTAAATTATCAAATGTGTGAGCAGCTATAATTTAGAAATTTTTGAAATTTTTTCAAAAGTTTTTTTATGAGACAGCGTAGTTTTTATCATTAAAAACATGAAAAAAAATACCTTATGTTTTAGAGCCTATAACTTCATATCTAAATAACTCTTATACTAAATAGTATTTCAACTTCATTCCTAAGTTTATAAATTGTTAATTTTTTTATATCAAAATTTTAATTTTTAAATTTGCAGTTTTTAAATAGCAAAATTTAATGACCAAAAATTTTTCAAATAATTTTTTTTTCAGAAACTTTTAGTTATGTTCTTTAAACCCACCCATATTATGTTTGAACTGATTTATAATTTTTTTGTGTATTGTTTTACAATTTTAAACACATATGGTTCACTGAAAATAATCACCTTTATCATCTTATTACACAAAAGTGATTGAACTAACTTTATCAAATTAACCTAGTAATTACTTTGTGGCCATTACAATGTCTGGTGAAAATTTGATGGTAGAGAAATAACTCTAACAATATTTTTAGAGTTTCAAAATTTACATTTTCTGGAAAATTCACAAAATTCATACTTTGTAACATTTAATTTTTATTTTGTGCATAAATTTCTGTACAAAAATAAAATATTACATACCATCATAGGCGACTAATTTTAAAATCGTAATTTTTTCAAATATTGTGTATTTTATATAATTTTATTATTCTAAAAATAAAATAGAATGTGTTATATTTTTGAGTGTAATATAGAATTATTTGTATTATATATTTTCTTATTATTTATTCTATAATATAATTTTATTATACACTAATTTATTTTAATATCTGTATACAGAATATTTAACGGTACTTTAGTCAGTAGTTCGGAACAATCAATAGCATTATAAATTATTATTTAATAATTTATATATAAATTTCAAATCATTATATAATCTTTCCTTTTTCAGGGAATCCAATTCTACCACTGTTACTATGTCTTCTATCTTTATATCAATGTTTCTTAGCATACAACTTTACAAATATAAATATTGTTCATTTATCTAAATTTTGCACTAATAATAAATTTTAGGTAAAATTAAAACTATATTAAAAATATTATAAATTTAAAAAACTAAAAAATATTAAACTAAAAGCCACAAAATTAATATTTTTAATATTTTTTAGTTTTCTAAATTAATAATATTTTTAATATAGTTTTAATTTTACTTAATTAATTAGCCACAAGTGATCAATTTTTAATATACAATTAATTTTAAGCCATTAAAATTTCTATAGTATTTGATAGTCTGTCAAAACAATGGAAAATGACACATATAATTATATTGCTGGAATCTAACAAGCCTCTAGAGCAAACTTCTTCATATAGGTCAAAATCATTCCTTCCAAGTATGACTCAACTTTTAGAAAACTTTCTATTAAAGAATTTAAAACCTTTTATGAAAGAAAACAACTTTTATCAAATTGTCAATTTAGTATTAGAAACAAATATTGAATTATAGATAAATTTTTCATTGTACATATATATGTATACATTTTAATTACTATTTTTATCATTAGAATAAGTTAAGGACCACTTCAATGAAATTGTAATTTCTAATCATGTTTGTATTTGTATATATGGGGACTCTACAAGTCTCACATGCCTTCAGCGCGTAATCCTCTTTAGGCCATCCCCTTAAGTAGGCCATTGATTCTAGTAGGAGTACCCCGCTACGCCAGGCATGATAAGTGTTATGCAGTTAATATACATCAGAATCGGTGTAAAAAAATGTATTAAAAATTTAATTGTTAAAATCAGGAAAATTCAAAAGAAGAATACAGTAAAATGTATTGGGTTTGACATTTGTTAATGAAGTATTCTCCTTGGGCGTATTCAAAAATTATTTTAGGAGGGTATTTAATTTTTTTTACTTTGTTAAACATGCTATAGAATTTTTTTTGCTAAAAATCAAAGTGATGATCAAAAAAAAAAAAAAATGGGTCATTATTCTTGGAAGTTGCCTAAAAAATATTGATAGAGCTGTTTCAAGGGGGGCAATTGCCCATATCACCCTTAAATACACCACTGGTAAACCACAATTATTAATATTCTAATTATAATAATCGTATTTATATTATAGAATAATTACAAAAAAATTCAGCAGATTATTATACTTGGGAATATGTAAAAAAAATTAATTTTGATAAAATATTGATTTGATGTTGGACATGCTGTCATAGTTGTCATAGATGGATCCCAATTTTTTACAATAAACTCATAGACTTATAAATCATATATGAGATAAATAAGATTATTAATACTGTCCTGAAAACTATATATTCTTTAAAAAAAAATCAAATTTTCAATAGTTTTTGAGAAATGAGTGTTTTGCCACATTTTGTTTACCTTGTATATTAAAAAATGTTTTTACAGTATGATAATATTATTATTATAAATAAAAAAGCAGTATCTTTTTTTTCTGAAAATGCTATAGTAAAATCACCAAATTTACTTAAATAATTTTTCTTGGAATGCTACATCACGAGATTATTTATGTTTTTTTGGGAGTTTCATAAAAAGTAAGTGGTTTACAAGTATTTTTTATAAAAGCATATTGATGAGTTAAAAATATATAACATCAATAATATTTTAAATTATCAATACTATCATGTTTAAGACAGTTGGAAGAAATGAAAAATCATTTTACATGATGTGACATTTAGCAATCATATCAAAAACATATAGATTTAAAATGTTTATATGATTTTGTAATCACTCTATATATAATAAAATTATAAACTATATTAAAAATAATTTTAATTTAAAAATTAAAAAAATATTAGACTCAAAAAGCCACAAAAAATTACTGGAAATACGCGGATACATATTTCGGAAACAATATTACCATTATCAATGCTAAACACATACTACTGCATAACCACTCTATATAATTAATTAATTAATCTTTTACCTTATATCTAGCAGTTCCTATGACATCCTCCAAGTATTCTAACATTCCAGTTGTATGCTCATTTTCAGCTTTTGGTTTCATCATAGCTATTTGTTCAACTTCTCCCTTAAATGAAAATTGTAATAAGAAATCCTGCAAATTGCATTTTATTTATAACTAACCTGTAGAATAAGAAAACGGTTATGAATTAAATCAATTCCATTTTTTTTTAGCACTGTTGCCACATCTTTAAATTTAACACGTTTATTATTTAGAGTATAGTTTGAAGTATTATCTTTGAAGGCAGTGCGAGTGATTGTTACTTCAGAACCAGGTACAGCAACATAGCCTGTATCTTGATTTGCCTAAGATTATTTAAAAAAATAAATGCTGTACACATCAATTATGATTAATTTTTAACGTACATCATCATTAATTTGCACAAAATGAACAGTAACAGAGCACTGACGAACATCTTTATGTCGGTCTGATTTATGAATCAAAACCGATACTTTTTTAGATCTAATTTTTGTTGAACGATATCCAAACACAAATAATAATGAATCAATTACATTACTTTTACCACTTCCATTTGCCCCAACAATACTAGTTAAACTCTATACAAATAAATAACATAAAATAATTAGCTTGCAAGTAATATTTTTCAAACTTTTTACTTTATGAAATGGTCCAATTGTAATTTCGCCAAAGTAACTTTTAAAATTATTAGCAACAATATGTGTTATTATCATTCGTGGCCCTAAAGTTTCTTCGGCCGATCTAACAGGAGGTAGCTCAGCAGGAATACGAATACCATTAAATATTTCACCATCATCATCAATATCTGACAGGTCATCATCAGAAAAATCTCCACCTTTTTCTTTATCTTTTTCTTGTCTAATCTTCTTATTTTTACTTGGTGTATTATGATTGTTACCTTCTTTATCTTTTCGTTTCACTGGCATAATACCGTTATAAATAAATATTAAGTTAACTAGAAGAAAATTAATTTACAGCTCTTTCTTTAAATAGGATGCAAAAAGCAACTTAACTTTTGTGCTTTATAATTCTCATAATAAAGAAATGGCGGTAAATGAGCTTTTTGTTTAATAAGTTATGAAGATAAGAAAAAACGGTTATGTGATAAATATAACCAGTGCAGGAAAATTACAGATAGAAAATTATTGATTGTCATATCACATTTTACACTGTGAAATCAGTCGACGTGCGCTATTTACTTAAATAGTAATATTTGATTTTGAGAATTGTGATGTGGTTAATTTTCACTTTATCGTTATTGTATTTTATTTTGTACATTATTAGTAGCCCAAGTTTACTTCATCTTTTTGTTTTTTAGACTTACTATAATTTTTACACATTATAAATAATTAACTAGTTAAATTTAATTGACAATTTAAAATTTATTTTATATTATATTATGTCTGAAACTGTGGAAAAAATAATTGAAGCTGTAAATAGCACTAATGGCACAGATACTGAATCAATACTCAAAAAAACTCCAGCTACTTTTGAAGGAATGATGATGGCCTATTCTAGTCTCGTTATAATGGCATTAATACCAATATACCTTGGTGCATTTCGTTCTGTGAAATTGCACATCCAAAACAAAGTAAATTTCATAAATTTTTAATACTTTGAAAAAATCAATTAATTTTTTTTTTCTTAGTTAAAAAAGGAAGTTCCCGAATCTATGACGACTAAAGATGCTATGATGTTTCCAGTAATAGCCAGTGGTGCATTATTTACTCTTTTCATTATTTTTAGGGTAATTTATATTTTATTCATGGAATTTTACTATACATTTTTAAAATATTAAGCAAGAAACAAGTTTATAATTGATAGGTACCAATTAAAAATAATTGTATGGTACCGTAGCATATTAAAAAATAATATTAAAATATTTTTCATCATAACCCATAAAATAAATTTATATAGACTTTGGTTTCTTAAAGACTCATTTATAATAAACTTAATTAATTGAAAACTTTTTTTTGTTTACGGTTTTATTGATTTAGATTTTTCCTAAAGAATATATCAACATACTTGTTACCATTTACTTCTATATTCTTGGAGTAGCAGCACTAAATAATTTATTAGCGTAAGTAGTCTTTACTTCAAATTTAAATAAATTTATCTTACTTAATTGTATTGAAAAAGGGATAGTGTAACCTTGTAATGCTGCAGTATCTGATGCACATTATTGTAGGTGATTCCATTTACTGTGTGAATGATCAGCTTAATATTTGAAGTCACCATCCCTTTTTCCTTTGAATAATTTATTACCCATCCCATAATATATAAAATTAAGAAACCTATTATGGGTAGGCCAAAATAACCCTTTATAAGTAAAAGCATTTAAAAATATTGTATTAAAAACTTGTTTCAAATATTGAATTATCAAATCCATCATTTTAATCTGTGTTTTTAGATTTTTAGTGTAAATTTGAATATAATAAAAGAAAATTAAATTTTAAGTTATAAATGTGACATATTATAAATAATGTTTTAATATAAATGACTTATTATACCCAATAACTAAAAATACCAAAGTTTTGTAATAAAAAAATTAATTTTTAAAACAAAATTTGAATATCATAGATTTTGAGGTTCCAATTTTCATTTTCTTGGGTTAATTGATATATTTTATATATTATATAAAATGCTTTTTAGATTTAATGTAATAAATTAAAAAAGTATTTTTAAGTAATTATATAAAAGTATTCTATCCAAGTGTGTACTCTGTATATAGGATAGAACAAATCTAATTGACAACTCTTATAAATTTTGATATTATTAAAATATCACTGCAATTTTTTGGACAAACACAAAAACAATGCACATTGTGGTAAAGCCAATAAATTCTCAGCTTTATGAGGTAATAACCTAACTAATCCTCCTTAAACTTTAACAGTAGAAAAATTACATTACTAAATTTTCAAGTCAATTAATAAAAGTTTGTACTAGCTGATAGTGTGTTTAGAATAACTAAATTAAATAGAAAAGTGAGGGAATTCAAACATTTATAGTAACCATGATAATAGTTTTAAAATAAAGGTCAAAACCCAATATCATTAACTACTTGATTTAAAAAAAAAAGGTAAAATCAGTTTAAAAAAAGACTAAAAGAAACATTCTTAAACACTCAAAATAAATTTTAATTAATTATTTTTCAATATTTTTATATTGACATTACTAATTTTTATTAATACATGTGTTTAATTTATTGTTAGTTATTATTTTTTTTTTTTTAAGTAATCTATTCAGTGTAATGATGCCAAAAAGTGTGCCTAAAACAGAATACCAACTCCAATTCATAAAAGGATCTAATGATAGCAAAGTTGATTGGATTAATGTTAAATTTTCTTTGCATGATGTTTTATGTTTTATTATGTGTGCCTTACTTGGTGCAGTTTATTTGTACAACAAAGTAATAATTTAATACATTCATTAAGGATTTACTATAATTTATACAAATTATAAATTTCATCAATATTTTTAAGCACTGGATAGTAAACAATGTTTTTGGATTAGCCTTTGCAATCAATGGTGTAGAATTACTACACTTAAATAACATAAAAATTGGATGTATTCTTCTGTGTGGATTATTTTTCTATGACATATTCTGGGTATTTGGTACTAATGTTATGGTTACTGTAGCTAAATCATTTGATGCGCCAATTAAACGTATGTATAATGTTTTTAAATAATTTAGTTCTATTATAACTATTATTATTATTATTAAACATTATAATAAAATAGTAATTGTTTTTATTAGATTTTTAATTGCACAAAATAAATTATTTTTAGCAATATTATTTATCTAAATATTAAAAAAAACCCAGCACAGGGGGGTCGCGGCACAGTGGTGACGTGGCATAGATGGATCAAGTATAATGATATCTGACAGTGATTAAAATCACTATAAAAAAAAAAACGCTTCGATGCAAATCTTTAGATAGTGTTTAATTTTAAAAAATTGGTGGATTATTCCAAAAGCTACATGATCTGCTAGTTCATTATTAATATCCTAATTAAGATAAAGTATGTCGAATGAAAAAGGGATTATTAAAAAATATTATTTCTTATAAAAAAATAATGTTGATCCATACACTTTTAAATATGTCATAGCATTATAAAGTTAAA